CAGAAACTTGATGTCAACTTTCCCACTAAGCTATAATTATCAAGTTCAAGAGCAAAACCAGCTTAAAGTAAATCATATTAAAATCATTAACCGTTGTCCCTCAGTTTAGAGCATTATCTTTTAAAAACAGCAAATATCTTCTCATTAAACAGAATTTATTATATTATGTAATTAGCAGAAGAACCGGATGAATCAAGTCGTGTTTTCTGCAAAAAGCTGATCTTCAGGTTTCATTTTTTTACCTCAGCATCCCAGGATGACAGCTGCCTGAGGGGTTAGCCTGAGCTAGCCTGGGTTAGCATCCTGTTAGCATCTGGTCTGTAACTGCGGCTAACATTCAGTCTGTAATTAATTACATCACTGAGAGTAAAATGGGTCAAACCTGATCGGTAGTGAATTATAAAGCTTTAAATATAAACCACCTTTATCACCACAATAGTGATCCAGACAGAAGCACACATGTCCTGCTAACCAGCTAGCTAACCACAGCATCATTTCTCCTTACCGACTGAGACTTGCTCCACTCCTTTAGTTATCTCCGTCGCCATGTTGGCCCGCGTCTAAAAACGGCTCCCTGGAAAAACCAAAAGTTGCGTTTCTGCGATGAGATATCAAAGGTTCTGCTAGAATCGAGCACCGGTGACGTCTCCTGCTCCCAACACGCAACTTTGCATCAGCTTTCCTACCGGAGGTTCACAGGAGGAGGCGGTGGGCGGGATTTCCCTACGGAGACACCTGATTGGTCACGCTGTACACGTAATCGCTAGAGCGTTGTAGCTGATTGGCTATTTGTGAGGGCAAGAACAGACGCATTTACGGCTCGATTAATGACACAATCTTAAGAGCCTAAAATGTTTAGAAGAGGAGCAACTTAGGAATTATGATTGCACCAGTTAGATCACGTGATTTCATAATAATGTTCTTACTTTTTCTACAGAAAAAAAAAAACTGTAGAAACTTTTATTTTATTGTAATTCTGCAAGAGAGAGTCGGATTTTATATAATCTATTGAACGTATCACGAAGAACGGGGGCGGGGTTACTGTAGATCGTAGGTTTTAAACAGGGGGTCCGCGAACCCTAGGGGGGTGAAGCTGGGCACCGTTTCATTCACAACACCTGTCCCATCAACCAGGAATCAGAAATACTTTAATAATCACAGGGAGGGATTACTTTAGTTACATTAATCTGTATCATACAATATATATATTTATATACAATATATGATTAGGGGGTCCCATTTCAATCTCGCCGTCAGTCAAAGTGGGGCTAAAGTGGTCTCCATGGAAACGTTAATAACCTTACATTTTAATTACTGATATCACCCTCCTCATCAGCATTAACATCACTTACAACTGGACTTGTAAAAGTGTTGAGCATCATGCGCTAGTAATAAAATCTTCTTGGCCAGTTATCTCACCTTTCTGATTCCTGATCCTCCACGGACGGGTTGGTCGTTGGATCGCCAACTTGAAGAGGGAGGATTTGCCATCGAACTTCTGGCCAGAGAAAAAACCCGTAATATGTAGCCAACATTTGGAAGAAGAATGTTTTCAAGATGACTTGGATAATAGCGCGTTGTGACAAACACCAGATACAGCACTGGGACTTGATCAACAGCCGATACCGCACCGTGACAATGTCACTAACCAGTAGGTGGCAGTAGTGTTCTTTGACAAACATGGATGCCTCCAGTAAAGCACATTCAGCATAATTTCTGTCATAAAAAGACAGTTTCTTTCAAACTGAGACTGTTTTTATCGTTTAATGATCTTGATTGTAGTTTTTGGGATTCTGTTGGTGTCGGCCATTTCAGAGCGAACAAACAATCCTGACCACATCTCTTCTGATCGCCGCCTTTCATCGGCTTCCTGTTCCTTCTAGGATCATTTAGAGGTTTTATTTTTGACCAACGCGGCCCTGAAGGGCCAGGCTCCTGTTTATTGGTCTGATCTCTGGATCCCTCAGATCTGCTGCTGTTTTATTGCTTTTATTGTAATGTCTATACTTTATATTTATCTTATCACTGTTACCTGTCATGTCCCGCACTTTATGTCCGTCTGTAAATGTCAGTCTTGTATATTTCTTGTATAAGTACAGTAACGAAGTATTTGTATTACCTCTGGATGACTTTGAGCTGAGGCTTTTATAAACTACAGATCTGCTCCATAATCTAGATAAAAATGTCGACTCATCAAGCTGCTTTTTAACGTCATAGGAAATAAAAACTACATTTGTTTTCAAAGAAAAAGTTTGTTTCTTCACAAGATTATCTAAAAGGATTTTAAAGAGAGGAAAAGCCATAGGTCTGAATCACCATGGCGACACCCTTAAAGGGACATGCTCCCCGTTTAGAAACATGGAAACGTTTTAGTGGAGGTAACTTCCTGTTTACCCTGGACCATCAGACATAAAGCAAAGCAGACCGTGTCTCGTTGTAAAGTCTTTATTTAGTGTTCAGGGTCCTGAAGCAGCCAGCAGCAGCTCCTTCAGCAGGAACAGAGCAATTTTTTATTTTTTTTTTTCACATGGAGAGAAATAATTTAATAAGAAAAATGGGGAGGGTTAAAAACCACCTTTGAACATGAGGACAGATGGTCTCCTGAAACCTTCGGCACATTTACGGGCAGAACTAGCAGCGCCCAGCAGGTGGTTCATTCATCCAGACATGGTGCTGCTCATGCTTCCAGGTCTGCAGCTAAAAACAAACGTTTGGAACATTCAAAAAAAGGCTGATCTATGAGAATCGGCTGATTTCTACGTCTGAATGTGGAGAAAACATGCAGAACAGAAACAACAGGAACAAATAGAAGTTAAAATCTTCACCAGCAGCGAACATGAAAGGCAGGAAGTCTCTTTTTTTTTTTAAGGAAACTTTGTGTTTTTAGTTTTTTTTTTTTGGATTTTGTAATTTCTTATCTGTGTTAAACAAACAGAATAATTACATCAGAAGCAAAGGAGCGCTTTTTTTTTTTTTTTGACATTTTGGATGTTTAGTTAGTTTTTTTTGGGAGGGCTCTGTTTTCCAGCTGCAGGGGATGATGGGAGCTGACATCATTTCCAGCTGAACGGCTCGAAGTCCCGACGCGCGCGTTGGCGATGAAAAGCACCTCAGCAGGGAGGAGCAGCTGAGGAGGTTCCCGTCTCTACGAGGAGCTGACCGGCTGCAGAGGAGGGCAGGGGGAGGAGCCGCCTACAAACACCCCCTCCCCTCCTGCCACCCCCTCATGGACGGCGGCGGTGACGTCTTCGTTGTAGAGGCGCTTGATGCCGTCGTAGAAGTCGTCCACCTCCATCTGCTCCACCTGCAGGCAGACGCGGGTTATTACCGTCACCTGAGGGTGAAAGCGAGTTTTTCTTCCTGCAGATGATCTCACCTTGCGTTTGGTGGAAGCTTTGCAGCGCAGGGTGACCGTCTGCAGGTGGTTGAGGTGTTTAGGCGAAGGAGGCGGAGCTTGGCGGTCTGAGGAGCTGCTCTCCTCTCCGGCAGCAGCTGTGTGAGGCAGGGCGGGTTGGTCCCCGGAGGTCTGGATGGTCCCTGGATGAAAAACGCACAGGAAGATCCTCATCAGCTACATCTGAAAGGATTCTGGTCCTTTTCTGACCAGAGTTGATCTGATTGGACGGTCAATCCTCTCTAGATCCGCCTTTCTCTACAGCCGCAGGTCTATGGGGGGAAATCTGCTCCATGATTCTTGGAGAGGATTGTTGTTTTGTAAATGAAGATTTTAAAGAAATCCAATCCAGAAATCAAAGTTTAATTAATGTTTTAATCAATTAAAGTTCAAATAGAAAGGAGTGCATCTAGAGCAGTTTCATGGTGTGATGGTAGATTATTATTTATTTTCTCTATGTGGTCTAAATCGACGCTCCACGTAATAAATGGAGCATCGATTTAGATCAGTCACATGACCAAACCCAGCTGTGACATCAGTGTCATCAATCGTCCTCCGGCGGCTTTATAGAAACACTACTTCACACATTGTTAAGCTCTATGAAAGGATCATTAAAATTACAGTGGTCTGTTGTAGGGATGGTGCAGGATCGGGAAAAGGAATGTTTAATTATCTGAAGGACCTGGTTTGGTTTAAACAGATTAAACAAAAATTAACCGGACAATCTGTAGCGTCCGAGTCGATAAAGCAAACTATGTTCAGTTCTTTAATCATCAGTCCTGCTCTCACAGCATCGGTTAGATTCAATAAAGAATCGACGGCTTGTTTTCTCTGTTTTATTAAAGTGCCTGATGGCCTGATTAAAAGCATCATTTATATTTTTATGATATATTTTACTTCATAATAGAACAAACCCTCTCCTGCTGCACTGTTTCATGAAGCTGCAGCTCCAGATGGATTCCCGTTTATTATGGTCCGCCTCCAGAACAACAAGAACCAGGAAGTCAGTTAGCGCAGGAGGAGACCCACAGCTGGAACGCCACCCGCCCCGCAGCCACGAGCCAAACCGATAAAAACCACATCTGAAGGGAGATGATTCCCACCGGACAGCAGGAAGGACCCGCTGCATGGAGCGCTCGCTGTGATCGGATTAACGAGGGACCGCCTTCCCCATCCAGGCTCTGCTATGCAGAAGCACCAGCACCGCACACAGGGCTACAAGACTGACCGCCAGCCTTCACGCCGGGCCGCCAACCGAAGTGAACCAAATGCTGTCATCCCCGCTTCAAACTAGAGGTTAGACTCTGGTTTAATTAAAACTCAGCAGCATCTGGAAAATGTTCTGGAAGATAATGAACTTCCAGCAGCTCTGCTTAAGATCAAAGAACATTTAGCAGTGCTGATTAAACCAGCGAGCTTTAATGAAACCACTGAGACTCTGATTGCTTCGTATTCGTTAGAGAATAAAAACTGCATCACTAAGGTGAATAAATATCGACTCGCTACGTAAATCGACTACTTCCTGACTAAACTGACGTCACAGCGTCCCTCAGTGGGTCACGAATGAGGAATTTAGCATCGTGAATTATTTTATGCTATAAACAACAAAATGCTGGATTTTTTTTTGTTGCAATGTATTTAATTTTGTAAATACTATCAAATGAGGAACTATAAGTTTGTGTTTTCTATTTGAACTTTACGGTTTTGGGATAACTTTAGCCGTTTCCCCAGATTTTGTTTTGTTTTCGATTTATTTGGGAGAAATTTTAAAACCTCAATGAGAAAAACTCAAGGACTTTTCAGGGAGTCTCTCTGTGGAAGATTCATCCACTTTTGGAGGATGAATCTGGATCCAAACTGGCTCTGCAGGCAACAGGGTGGATGATGATGATGATGATGATGAACCTACCTGGTGTGCGGCGGGTCAGTGAGCGCGCCCGGACTCCGAGCTGCAGGGGTTGGTAGATGTAAACGGTGTTTGGAGGCAGGGAAGCTCTGGGTGTGGAGAGGCTACGTTCCACCAGCTCCCTGCTGCGGATCAGCTCTGAGCTGTCCATCTGAGGGAACGACAGAGAGGAGGGGTCAACGGAACGAAGACCAGGACACTGACAGCTGCTCGGTTACCATGGTGACGGTCTGAGCATTTTACTCAAACTGATCTGAAAAACCTGCTGAGCTTCTGGTCTG